ACGTAGACGGGCCTCGTTCGGGGTGGTCGTTCGAGCAAAAACAGCACTTTTTAACTTGTCATTGGGATTTTTAGAGGACATTGTTTCAATGATGTCAAGAACTTTAGTTGCGAGTTCTGTTGGTAGCAAAGGAACGACATGAAGGTATTTTGAAGACTGTGAAGTAACCTTCAAGTTGCGAAACTGAGGCTCAATTTGCATAAACCACACTCGAGCTTTGGAGAGCAGTAGGGTCAGACATTGTAGAAAGGATTGTGAAAATATTTCGACGAAAATCAGCAATTAACGGCTTCAAAAAATGATTTCGCTTGTCGGGGTCACCAAACGTAGTGTTTTGTGGTCTAAGCACTACCTTACAACCCTCTAGTTAACAGCCCGTAATAACCCGAGGACGGAGAGAAGAGAGGCGACCGTGAACACGACCGTTTATTAGCGTCACGCCAGCCAAGTGTGTCTTAGTGTGTGGATGAGTGAACGGATGATAGGCATCGGAGACAGTAACTAATAAAAAGGGGATGAGTCATTGTCACCGTCAGGTCGGTAACCCGGTTTCATTCAGGCGCGATCGCTGTTAATCCGCTACATATCCCCCACAGGCCTCAGGAGCAATTCAACGAATCTGTTCTCATTCAGCATCGTTTTAGCTGTGAGAGATGGGTCCTTTGAGAATGATGCCCTTCTAAACTGCAAGTTTAATGACGAACCGTGGTTGTGCCTTCCAATAGAGCGCGAATTTTGCTAGAGCAATCGACGCTGTCACAGACTTGACGCGCTGCAATAATGAGCATGGAGTTCGTCACATAACAGAATGTGTGCTCGAAAAGACCAAACACTTTATTTCTTTTTCTTGTCACAGGGAACATCACATTGTTGAATTCGAATGCCTTTCACTTATCACGACTAATCAGACATTCTGATGTGTGCCATTTTGCCCCGATTCGATTCAATACTTCCGAGAATTGCTAGACACACTTAGCTAATAACGACTTGGACTACCCATCTCAACACACTGAAATCAGCGGCGAATTCAACAAAACAGTTAGCGTTCTAGACGATCTCTTGAACCTCAGCCAAGCCGACTTCAAACCTGGTCGATGTGGAATATTCGAGGATGAGTCCAGTGGAACCGATGAACCTGGAATTGCCTCGAGCGGTAATCACTGGGTTTTAGTGAGCCATTTGCCATGTACTGGCTGCAAGCCTGAATGCTTTCTACCTGTACAAGTGGTTCTAGTCGTATTTGCCTGGCACACATCCAGACCTTATTTCTCTAAATCAATGGGTCGTTTAGGCACTTAATGTAGGCTGTTACTGATGTCCAATAAGTAATAACCCGTTAAAAGTGCATGATTAAAAACACGATCCAAGGCAAGAGGAGAATCTTATGTCAATCTAACTGAAGCAGCTTTTAAGATTTGGAGCAGTGCCGTCTTGTGGATTTTGAAATTTTGCTATTTGATGATGAATGTTTAGCTCGATGTTTTCACAAACATTTCTGGCGTCTTCAAATTCGGCTGCTTAATGGAATTTGGCAAATACGCAGAGCGTGGTGCCACATTAACGCTACGTAAACACGTCTGATCGTTTTTTTCACGTAAGATCAAGTAGCTTTATTCAATGCAGTTATCTTCACCTTCCAAAAGACATCACAGTGTCAGCACAACGCATGATTTGCTACAGTTATCTGATGTCACAGTAATGTAAAACGCAAGATTATTTAGAGAGCAGAATATTTGTCCTGTGCGAGGTCGTTCTCACAGGACAAAACCATCGTCAGCATGCTGGCGCACCACACACATGCACCATGCATTCTGCTCAGTGACTGGAGCATTCTGTCCTTTACTTTTTGTTAGTAGTTATTCCAAAGTGTACAACGGTTGCTGGAATTACTTTACGCAAACACATGTCAAAATTTTGCAACGACTGAGAACAGTGGTGTTGGGTTAGATGCTTTCGATCCATGACTCCTTCAATCATTGGCTTGAAACAGACAAAAGGCCTGTGCGAACAGTCTACGAAAAGTGCTTTCCGCGATTGGATAAACACACCAGCAAAAGACAATTGAGGACATTCTACAACGTTCATGAGTTGTGCGATTTTCACCGCCATCAAAACACACACACAGAGAACCGCTGTACAAATCGTTTGTCTACAGTAAGCGACACCCAGGGTGCTGACATGATGAATTAAGCGTGGCTCAGCTAATCCTCCGTGGTGTTGCATTCGGATGACCCTAGAAGAAGATTAGCAGACAAGAAGAAACAAGGAGGGATAAGATGTACTATTTGTAGGGCTAGTGACTGTTCAAGATAAGCTTATCGATTGTCCCAGTCTTCTTCATTCTAGGGCTCGGGTATTCTACACAAAGACAAGACATTGATCAAAATGCGTTTGGTGTCTCAGCCAATGGCCGCGTGGCGAGTCATAATCCAAAACCACAATTAGTCGTGGTTGACCTTGACATGGTGGATCAAGAAGGACTGACTTAGATGTTGTAGTCAGTTGCGTGTCGTGGATGGGAATTGGTGGCGTTGTGTGAACAATGACGAAAGCCTGATTAGAGGCCAACCTCATAGCATATTATTGGATGCCTAAGATATACAACAAACGTGCGGTGTGCAAATGTTTGTTTTGAGTTTAGCTCGTCTAGAGAGTGTATCGTATGCGGCGGTAAGACTAAATGGGATTGTAAACAACGAATAAATCAGTCAAAAGATTGTGGATGTTAAAAGATGCAATCAGTCTAAGGGGGTCATTGAATAGTGATTCATCACAATTACTTTGTTACGGAAAATCTTCATCACTGGTGACACCAAAACCGCATTGGCAACGCGAAATTATCTGTCAATAAATGAGAGCCACTCATGTCCCTCTGCATAAACGCCCTCGTACCGATTAGGGGTTTGTGAGCATTGTGACATCAAGGTAAAGTGCTGCTTGATCTCTTCATCTAAGAGCACAGTTATGTTGAGGTGGATGTGCTCCACGACCATCAAATACACAATGCCTCGTTATTACAGCGTGCCAGCTGCTGTGCAGAACCTCCACTCACACACCACACCATCCTCCACTGTCCTAGGACACCCACAATTGACATCCGCGACTGGGAACGCACACACTTGACGGATGCAACTTGGTTGAGCTACCCAATCAACATTTGTCTCAATCTTTCTCCATCTGTCTCACTTCCTTCTTGAGTGCTCCGTAACTACTCGGTGACCCTGACATGGACCTAAGGCAATCGAAATATTTGCATTCAACTACCAAAGTATCCGATATAGCAGACCTTATGAAAGAACTAAAAAATCGTCTTGCATCCTCAGGAATGCAATCAGCAAGACAACATTGCCTTGGAGTGCAGGTTAAGCTCACACTCGCCAAGACATCAGGGTGGCGCCTGGATCATCTGCAATCCTCTACGCTCCTCCACATCATCAATTCAATCGTGATATGGATTGAAAGACCATTCATTAGCTCAACGACATTCCAAGTTGCAACGAATTTCGGCATCACATTCTGATTCTCAGACCGCAGATTTTCATCAGCGGTGCACATAGTTTCCATGAAAGCATGGTGCGAAATGTGGTGACGATGGTGGCGATGACAACGATGATTTGAATTGCAGAATATTTCGCCAAATAAATCCGTGTAGAAGTCAAATCTGCGAACTCATTCTCTCACGTCTACAACATCTACTGCATATCTATCAGGCACATTCATGCGTCACAATTACTTATTATTTAATTTAACGCACACCAAATTTACACTTTATCGAGTGGTGGTGTGTGAACACAGTGGTTGATAGACCTTGTGTTGCACCATGATCAGTGCCTTCTTCAAAGTGGTCAACATAGCCTTGCTGGAAAATCGATGAAGCTGCACCCATTTGACATTGTTCAGGTGGCGATGTGAGCGAAAACTACGAAGAGGTGCCTTCAGTAAAACCAGCAATACTAGGGCCATTTTGGAAGTGGTTAGTCTGCTTTGATCACGCAGCTGTTAATGAATGATAATTGCTTGTGAGTCACTGGTGTGGTATTGGTGCACCTCGCATTGAACACCCACGTAGCCATCAAGCTGAAGTGCTGCGTGTTCAATAATGTTGAGGCGGATGTGTGCCACGACATCAAATCCACCCTCGCGCTTGCTTTGTCTGACCGTTAGGACTGCCTTCTTCTAGTGCACTGCAAGTGTCTGCATCTAAGAAAAACAGCACATTCGTCTATTCCTGCTACATTTGGCGGTGTGTTTTCTCGAAACATTGCCTACACACTGCAGTAACTTGTGCCTTTGTGAAATCGACAAGTGCTTGTACCGATACATTGAATGAATTTATTAACTATTGATTCTGAGATAATATCAAGTCTCTGTGGTGGGGATCGTGATGCATTGCTGTTCCGCCGCAGCGTTCTCTTCCACTCCATCAACACGCATTTAGATCATAGAACGTTAGGCATAAGACACGGTGCACTGACGTTGCATGCTGATGTCTTGATGCAAAGTGAACATTGGTGATGATGATGATGTAGCAGATTAGGGAACTTTTGTCAAAATGTCGCAACGAAAAGCTAAATTCTGTGGCCTCCTTGTCGTACAGCAAAAAATCTGCAGCTTATCAGCCCACCACAGACTTTCTTCATGTATGCAAACTGCCCAGCGTTGGCAAGTGTTACCACACCTTGCTCGTTGTTTTCACTCACGTCCGACGACTGTAGTTCACTATCACAAGCCTCCTTTCTGTTAACGATACGTAAATCTACTAATGCAAATTCCCGTTCAAAGAACAGCATCTCAGTCGAATCTCCTCTCACAGTTCCAACATCCGAGATTCGGTAATGCATATTGAGGCTCTTTTAAGCATTTGAAACATTCTCCTTTATTTCTTCATGTAGATACGTGTTGCTGCACTGCAAATAACAGATGTTGCCACAGAATTCATCGACTTGCTTCACACAAAACCACTTGAAAAGCCCTAAAATTATTAAAAGCTATTGCTCTCATAGTAACGACCAGTTCAAATGGTGCATGTCTTCGACACCAGTATCAACACTCGCCACATGTTGAAGTCAACGTGTACGGGCAAATTGTCAGTCCATGCACACACACTAATCTAACCTACTGAGACACACCTAATACTCATTTACGCGTTTTTGACTAAAAGCACGCCGATTCTGCCTCGCATGCACACATCTGCGCAAATTTCAACTTAATCGCCATTTCAAGCCCATCTCTTATCAACATCCGCAAATTTATACAAACCAGCTGCTGGCACTACTCCAAAGAAAAACGGTCTACAAATACAAGCTATTGAAAAATAATTTCGCACTGTCCACAAACCAATCTAATGAGAATATGTGGGGTGAATGCGCTATGAGAGCCTTCTGGTTATTGGTGGATTCGAGGTAGAAGCCCTTCAAGCTGTGGAAAAGCAGATGTGGCAATTTAGCTACGGCGAAGCCCATGAACACATCATCCACCCACAGAAAGCGCGTGTAGGCTTCGGCTACCACCAGCTCCGTGAGTACATCTGCACCGACAAACGTCGCCGCTCCGCTTGCGTACGGTGGGTACTGCGACCACGGAACCTCATATTGAGTCACAGCCCACCTATTGAGACTGGCGTCCTCAAACGGGCGAATCACACGCCCCCAAATAATTAGGGGTCCACTGAGCAGTTGACGACGATCCGACTTTGTCAGATTATTCAGGTAATTGAGCACATTCTTCGCGTTGAAATCGTAGTCGTCGTCGATAAATAGAAAAACGTCGGATTTGCCTAAAACAAACAGTGCACAAATCAATTTCACCTACGCCACCCCATCTTCACACGCACGACTGAAGCTCAGCATTGACTTAACCTTTGCAGTGACTCACTTCACTAAGCCGCTGTCACAAGATTATAAGGCGGGCACGTTAGGAGGCATTAGTAAGTAGGTATAACGAGATTTTAAGGTTTTAGTGTTGCCAAAAACGGCATCCACCCATCTGTGAATACACTGGAAACACTGGCAACTTCTCCAATTCCTCAACCAAACCACATTTCCTAAACAGAACTGTGAATTTCCAGAGCAAGTCTAAACACAAATTCACGCAGTTTATTCTTCCACTTGCCCTTACTTCACGTCAATGGTTAGCACGTGATATCGGTGTGATGTATGAAAACGTGCCAAACACCACAAAGGCCTACCTTGGCAAAATGCAGAGGCCCATCGATGGCTCGCTATGAGCTTGTAGGTTAGATTCACGTAGGTATCCACGTAGTCACCAATGATCATGTCACCGAACTCGTCTGCCTCCGCCAACGCTCTCTCCCGAGCCTCGGTCGCCCGCCGTGCCCATTCAACGGCCTAGGCACCCGCCTTCTCTGGCAAACGAATGTCGAAGCCGCCGTTCATGTGGAACAAATTGCCTCCCAAATCGGCGCTAGGTTGACCCAGAGAGAACACAACACGAATACGACCTGGCAGATTGCGAGTTGCCTCACGAATGCGACTTCTCTCGTCGAAGTGGTATGGCGCAGATTTGTAGATAACCACAAGGTCGTAGACGTCCTTCGAGGCTTGGTCGTGAGGTGCACAGGCAGTGCGACTGGTGCGAATGAGTTTGATGTTAGGATTGGTGATTGGGGCCAGTTGTATGCCGAAGGAATAAGATGTCAAATCGACATCAAACCCTTGCAGGTAGCTCATCCTTGACACACACGGTCATGCCTGGTGTGTCCAACACAACTACGTGAATTTCAAGTAGATTCCTCCCGTTTGATAAAATCAAAAATACCGAGTGCAGTCTACATGATTTTAAAAAGAATGTTTTGCCTGCATGTAAACATCAGCCTCTACATTCATGCTGAGCCTTTGCACTATAGCGTTGCGGAATCACGTGTAATGCAATTTGAATTTAAACCAGGCACATTTACCTTGTTTATGGGTTACACCAGCGAGCAAATTCATCAGACTGCACAGATACACAGTTTGATTAATTGGAATACAGAGCACAAGCAAATGATGCGATGTGGTTTAGGTTTAATGCTAAAAGCCTCTGACGTGATGCAACTAAGAGACAGATTGATCATCCAGTGCAATTCGAGGTGAATGAGTTCAACAAATCACTGTCCAACTAGTGGCTGGGGTCAATGGGTGCTCAAATGGCTCGAGTCTGTATACTAGATGTAATTGCGTGACTTACAGGCTATTTGCCAAGAACACAACGTCGTCCTTTTGGATAGTATATTCTAGATCAAGCAATTTTACAACACAATAACTATCGAAAAAATCAACCGCCTTCGTAATCAACCAGAGTGCACGCACTTCCGCAAAACATTCAACTTGTCACACACATAGTCTGCAACTTACATACGGTACCGGTTTCCCGCGGGTGATGGCAGGCACGGTGCCAGTGAGATTGATGGCCAACGGATACACGTCGTATCCACCATCGCCACCATTCAACTTGTGACCCTCCAACTCGAACCAACGAAGTAGAGCTGATTCCTCGTCACCGTGCTCGTAGTCCTTATCTAGCAACTTCAATCGCTGGTGCAACCTCGTCTCCATGGGCTCATCCGAGGACTTCACTCGCACACACAACGTCAGGTCGTACGAGGAATCCGCACACGTGAGATCCTCCGGAACGCGCACTGGTGGCCACCGGTACACGCGACCACCACGAGCCCACCGACACGAAGAATTGGTCCCATCGAAATCGGGAATGCGATAATCTACTGCGTGATGACCACATGAGACACACAAACGGTGATAGGTGACAGCATTCTGTGTTGACTTGTGCCATAACATGAAAAGGATAAATACGCCAAATGCAGTGCAAATCAGAAACAAGTTAAGATTCGTCTGGACTGCATTTCAAAGTGTTCATTGTAAAGGAAGAGAAATGTATACAGAAACTGGAAATGAATGCAGTGAAATGAGCAAATCTCATTGAAATTTCCACCTGCTCATCCCACCTGAATGCCAAGATTGTTCCGTTTCGAATGCACAGCTGTGAGCCCCATTCAACCCACCTATAAGAAAGCGCAGTGTCCTCATTGGCTAATACATTACCTTTGTCATTGGCTGAATTACGTGATGAAGCCGAGTAACTCAAGAAAATCCGATTTTTATTCCACTGCCTCAACAGTGTCAAAGTTCATTATGGTACATTCAAAAATAATTAGGTTATTTGTCTTTGTATGGTTGTTAGCATCAACAGCTGCTGTATCGATTGAAAAGGGCGCATAAAACACGCAAACTGCGATAGAATCAACCGCAAACACTAAAATAACACCTCGTGCTTGTGCATCGTTCTGCCTCATTGCTCAGCAGCCATCTGACAGACATGAGGTTTGGACTCTTGCTGCGGACGCATGACACCGTCTCCTCCCAATTACGACGCCATTGAATGTAGTTAAATGTGGTTTCAGAAAAGTAATTTGTGCTTCATCACTGAGACATTTCGAGGCCACTGGCGCAGTGCCTTAAGCGAAGGGAACACTATACTCAGCACCATCAATACGTCACTTGGTTTAATTTCACAAAAGTTTGCTCTGTAATTCGAGAATTCACTTCAGGTTGTGACGGTTGCTTGGAGATTTTTGTTTGTGGAATGTCCATAAGCGAGCACATTGAATAACTGCGGCCAATGCTGTACCTTTGTAGTTCCGACACACATTGCGGTCATATTGGATCACATCAGCAGTTCATCCAATCCAGTGTCTGAGTGTATTTTAATTGCCGT